TTCAGCGATTTTCTCCCTTTCCGGTACAATTTCAGCCGCTGAAATTGATCAAAACAGCCCACGATTTGTCCCAAGACTTGCTCTGATACCAATTTGATAGGAAATACTTTCCTAATCACTTTGGCAACAAATCTCAAGAACAACCGCTGTCCACAGCAGGAAAACAGCCCAAAACTGAGGGAAAACAGAGAAAAACTGCAGCAAACACGGATAAAATACTTGTATTTTACTAATAGATGCAAGGAAAATAGCAAAGATACAAGGATCCTCTATTCGAGAGGAGGATCGCACTCTCCCAATCTCTAGAATACGATCTAGAGCCCAAATCCACAAGAAGAACAAGAGAAATTTCAAAACAAAATCACATAACCCTAAACCTCCTCATTACTCCCTACTTAATGCATACAATTCAAAATAGATACAAAAGGACCTAATTGCCCTCACTTCCCTTCATTTTAGCTCCAAGAAACAACTTGAATTTCAAGTCTTTTTTTTTTTTTTTTTTGATGCAGAGGTTAACAATTTTTCATTTTCTATTTATTCTCCTAGAATGTTTATATATGTAATGATTCCAAGGAATAGAATGAAATTTGAATTTCCCTCTAAACAATTTCTTCACTTACTATTCATACTCTATTATGTTAGTGAAATTCACTAAAAAGTGTACCGGGATTTGAGCTTTGATTATTATTCATAGCACATAATTGATCTCATGTTTGCTAAGTTCAATTGACCACTTCATTAATCTCTCTAAAAGGGCATTTACAATGCACGCCTCAATGGTTGATTGATCAAGAACTTGATTAGATGTACTTGGGAAGTATGGTCGACTTCATCATATTGATGTGACATAGTCCAAGTGAGTATATCCAATCTAGAATAGGTCTGCTCAGCTCTGTTTAGAGTTGTGCTGAGATAGTATGTTGACAGTTGTTTACCTACTACTTTGCAAATAAGTACAGAACCGTTAGTCATTAACTCCTAGGTCAACCAGCAATGTTTCATTCGATTATAGTACTACTAATTCCAACCAGTTGAACTCCTTAGATTTCTTAAAATGCTTTGAAAAAGTAGCACTACTTTTTTTATACCAAGGTAAACTAAGGGTTCGTTTGGGACGGCTTCACGGCTGCGTTGCTTTATAAAAATTTGTTAAATGCCCGTTTGGCGTATTGCGGCAGAACCAAGTTGAGCAAATTTTTGCGGCCCACCGCTGCTTCCCGCAACCTTTCAATGCCTCCCACGGTCGGCTGCTTCCGGTGGTTTTGAAAGGAAAAGATGTCGTAAATGCCCCCATTTGTGCGAGAATGCTTCTCCCTCATTGTCAGCGATGTCATCTCGTGATCTGTCGCTCCGCCGTAGCGATGCATGGATTCTTCTTCTTCTTCCTATTCGTCTCGTGGATGCCTGGAACAGAGCTATTTGGATAAACTTGCCGGCTGGCGGTACGAAGTGCGTTTCGGAGGAGATCCAACCTAACGTCGTCGTCCTCGCTGATTACTCTGTTGTTCCCGAGGACTCTAGCCACGAGCACCCCACAATCTCGGCCAAGGTATTGATTCTTTATTAACCCTTTTTACTAGATTAGTGGAAAAACTTGATTTAAGGGATGAGTTTTATGCAAATGGTGTTCTATCTTGTTGGGTTGGAGAAAAGATCCTGACATCCTGTTTTAGGTCTCCAGATTGATAATTTCTGGATTTTCTTCACGGTATTCTAGATTGGTGCCCCTATGCTGTTTTTTTATTGATGGAGTAGAATTAAACGAAGAGAAAGGCTTGGCCCGTTGTTATGCGGTTGTTGTGTTATGTGCAGTTTTTTTATCGATGCAGGTATTTGATACTGGCATGCAAAGTTGAGCTCACATCTTCAGAGAGCAATAGCTAAAATAGTTCATCATTTGAAGGCTCATCATTGTTAATAATTTATTATTTTAATTTCCACTGAAATTTGCGATGGCATTGAAGATCAATAGTTGAAATAGCGTTTTATGCATTACTATTATTTAAAACTGCTCTGATTTTGATTTCCACTATAAGCAGTTTTACAGCAATTCCGAATATCTGGAAAATGATATACGAAACTTTTGTTTTCCACGAAATTAGCTACATCAAAGCAGTTATGATCGTTAGAGCCAAAGAGGATTTTATATCATATTGAATTGTCTTTCTAGTTTGAATTTATATTATTTAAATTTATGCATAATGAGGGTAATAATGTAAATTGTTCTTATATAACTGCAGCAAAGCAGTTTTACAGTTATAGTACCCAAACAAAAAATATTGTTTTCTATACAGTAACTTCAGAAAGCAGCTTTCTATAAAGTAACTTCACAACCTACTTTACCGACAGCTGCAGCCGTCCCAAACGCACCCTAAATCGAACAAGGCAATTTACCTATCAACTTCCACACCTGCACCCAGCAAAAGATCAATTCATCACTAGAACCACTCGGACTTTATTGAAGTTTACTTGAAATTTTGTCTAGGGCAATGATGTAAATCAGGAATTTGCAGAGCTTATACAAATTATGTATTTAAAAGGATTGAGCCATATGTTAAAACTCCTTAATATTATGAAAGTCTCTTGGATAGATCTTAAAGATATTTGGCTGGGCTTTTACTATTGATAAGTACATCAAAGATACACGACTTCAAGCTCCACCATTATTGTGCTTAAAATCATTGTTCATCAACCGATTATATGAATGCTTGTGTTCTTCAAACAAAACTACATATCATTCCAACAAAATGTCCCATCACAGATGATGGGGCCCACCTTCTCCTCACTGGATAGATACCTCTTGATTTGATGGTAATCCAAGAAAACGTCATAAAAATTCAAATATCAAATACCCAACTATTAAATCAACTATAGCATCGATGCTTGCTAAAGTGCATGAATCCTATAGGCAAGCATCATTTACCCTCTTCAGGTTTACGTACATCCCTGATTTTTTTTTTTTTTGTTAGCTTTTGGATTATGATCACATTTAAGACCCGACCAAGGTATTGAATCTCCCAAAAAGAACCGACATCAAATAACTTGTGTACCCCTACTCAAATTGCATCTTAAATATCAATGGCATATATTTTCTTCATTTCCTTGATTTTTGTTGGGCAACTGAATATGAAGTCAGTAACATATGATGTTAAAATTAAAACCCACCCCCTTCACCCCGCGTGACATCTGAAGCTCTCCTAAAATAATGTCTAGCATACTTCTCAAAAGTGAATTCGACTAGTTTGAATATTATCTTCTAAGATTGAGCTTATAAGAAAAATCCAACAAAAATCTCCTTCAATTATTGAAACTTCAACCACCTCTTTGACCAGCTAAATTCTCGTGTAAGTTTTTCTGTAGTGATACAATTGTTAATTAGATGCTCTTTCATAGGGTTCAAATAGCAATTCTAAAAATCATGATGGCCCCTATTTATTTCAAAGTTTAATTGCCAAATTACTCATTGAGACAACAATTATAGTGGATTGCCCAAATATCATATTATTGGAAAGCAAAGCTCTCAATAGTATGAATTAAATCTTCTCATTTTGTGATATCTCTAATCCCATAAAATAGAGGTGTGGAAATGCTTAGGAGATGAAGGAATTTCTTGGCTTACAAAACTTTTTAATACTGTTTTGAAGACTAAAAAGATGTCAGATGAGTGGAGAATGAGTGTGTTAATTCCTATTTTTAAGAATAAATGTGATACACAAGATTGTGCGAATTATAGAGGAATTAAGTTAATGTGTCATACTTTAAAACTATGGGAGCGAGTTATGGAGCGTAGGTTACGGCGTGATAGAAATGTTTCTCAAAATCAATTTGGATTCACGCAGGGTAGGTCTACTATGGAAACCACACATTTATTGAGAGGTTTGTTGAAGAAATATAGAGAGAATAAGGAGGATCAACATATGATATTTATTGATTTAGAGAAAGCATATGATAAAGTTCAAAGATAAGTGCTATGGAGAGTTCTTGAAAAGAAAGGAGTTAATAACACTTATATTCAAATCATTAAAGATATGTATGCATGAGCTATTACTTGTGTTCAAACACAAGGTGGTTTGACCAAGTATTTTTCTATTTCGGTTGGATTATATCAAGGATCAGCCTTAAGCCCTTATCTTTTTGCTTTAGTCATGGATGTTCTCACTAGACATTTGCAAGAGGATGCACATTGGTGTATGCTTTTTGCTGATGATATTCTTCTTGTTGATAAGACTAGAGAGTGAGTTGACGGTAAACTTGAATTATGGAGGTCAACCTTAGAGTCTAAAGGTTCTCGCTTGAGAAAATCTAAAACGGAATATATGGAGTGTAATTTTAGTAGTAATAGACCTAGCGAGGGGATTTTGACTTTGGGCAATCAAGTCATTAATAAGAGTACACATTTTATATATCTTGGATCTATTGTTCAGAGTGATCATGAAATAGATGGTGATATTATCAGCAGAATTCAAGTTGGATGGCTAAAGTGGAAGAATGCATCGGGCTTGTTGTGTGATGGAAAATTCCCACTCAAACTTAAGAGAAAATTCTATAAGATGGTGGTGAGACCTGCAATGCTTTATGGTGCCAAATGTTGTATATTAAAAAAGAAGCATAATACTAAGTTAAGTGTTGCAGAGATGAGGATGCTCAGGTGGTTGAGTGGCTTTACCCTTAGAGATAGAATACAAAGTGAGCATATACGCGAAAAGGTTGGAGTAGCTCCAGTGGAAGATAAGATTAGAGAGAGTCGCCTTAGATGGTTTGGTCACATAAAACGGCGGCTTCTGATGACTCAGTTAGGAAAGAAGAGGTATTAGATTTGACTCATGTTAAGAAAGGTAGAGGTAGACCTAAAAATTCTTGGTTAGAAAATATTAAAAATTATATTTCTTTATTAGATTAAAACGAGAATTTGACTTTTAACATGACACAATAGAGAAAAAGTATTCATGTAGTTGATCCCACGTAGTGGGACAAAGGCCTGATGTTGTTGTTGTTGTCGTCGTCGTCGTCTAATCCCCTCAAATGATTGGAAAAATAATCATTTCATCGGAAGCTGTTTCTCCTAAAAATTCAACCAGTAAACGTTATGGTGATCAGTGATTTTGCATAACTAAATCAAACTTCTTAGATGGATCAAGAAAAGAATATTCACAAATTTTTTCAATCAGAATTCTACAACCTTAGTTATTGTTAACCATGCTTTTAACATTCGTAACATCAATGAGCAAATTCTGATAAACCAAAATATCCTCATCTGCAAATGAAATGACAAGGGAGGAGGATGGGTTCATGAGATTTACATCATTATTTAGTCAATGCATATACCAATGGCATAAAGCCTCAAAATCAGCTCCACCAGTGATTGCCTCCCTCCTGGATGAGTTCGCACTTTAACTAAATGATAATCATAACTTGTGATTGTGATCGTCGTAAGAATAGAATTTTGTTTTACTCGCATCTTCAGAGCTTTAGTTAGCCACATGAGACCTCTCTACCTTGTATTACAAGCATAACCACAAGCATTGGGCAGTTCAAGGGTGGTAGTGAATCATTGTGCATGAGCAATGAAACTAGAGTGCTCGACGATATTTATTTTTAAATGAACTGCCGTGAGTGAAAATTTTGTTCGATTTCTTCATTGTCGTATTATTATATGTTAGCCATCATTTTTCTTTTCTTGTGAGGAATCAACAGAGATTATTAGGGACGCATTTACTCAAAATTGTTGGGATCTCCTCAAATTTTATGTATTTAGCGTGTCCTTCAACAGCAGATTCACCCTCACATCAAGAGATCTCTAGAAGAAACATATTTTGAAAGGGTGTTCTCCTTTAACTTCAGAATCAATGCAACCCTTGCCAGGCCTTATCAGCTACTATGTTAAATCTTATTATGTAATGAGAGGCTTCTCAAACTGAACAGTAGCTGACACTATAAATTCAATCTCATCTTCAAACCCAATGAAGTTCTCTACGTGATCTATGAGTCATTTTCAATAACCAACCTGATGACTCATTACATTTCAGAGGAAGGAGATCCTAGAAGATTTTTTTTCATAAACGGTGAGACATCTATGACAGATCTTAGCATAACCACTCAAATTGCAGTTAAGTCAATGAGATTTTCCCATATGGATACTTGTTTGATCATAATGGAGGACTACTCGAACCTTTTACTCCAACTAGTGTTTCCAAAGCAACTTGCTGATTGGCCATCCCTTAACCACCATTTTTGGCTTTGGTTGTGAGGGAATTGTACGAGTCAACTATCATCTAGATCAAAAGGTCAGCAACTTGTGCATGTGTTGCATATGCAAGAGCCACGTTTTAAATTTCCCATATATTAGTGTATGGTTTCTTAGTTTCAATTCAGAAACTAGGTGAATCTGGAACTATTAGTATTGTTGTCACCCATTCCACCTTTGACTAGATTGTTTTTAAATAAGAGTACTAAATGTGAGCTTAAATTTTCTATGCATATAGAATTCATGGATCTGCATGACAATCAAGCAATATAGTTAAAATATGAAAGAGCAAGAGTGACAGAGAGAATTCCAAAATATAGAGGGTATATAATACCCAATCACCTAGATTAATTTTGCACTAAAATTTGTAAAAAGTAGAAAAAAGACATGAAATGAAAATGCCGAAACATACCCAAAAAAACGTGTTGATCATGATTGTTTTTTTTCCTGTTAACAAACAAGTTCTTACGCACAGTAATTAATGCCTTAATCTAAACGTAAGCCGTAGCTGAAAACATAGATTATATCCTTCTAATGTTGTTCAAGGAGAAACTAAGAAAAAATATATGGTTCAGAACACCATTAATGAAGGATTTATAGCCTATAAAGATTTAAAGAACAGAAGCTACAGAAAGATGTTGCATCATATACTAGTCTGAACTACACGAAGAGGGTTTAAAAGACCATTAAGGCTAGATGCTGTAGAAAGCACCTTGCATTGACTATGTACAGCATTGCATGCATCAGCAGCTACACCCCATCGTAAAAGAGAAGTCGCAGCATCAATATATCTGAAAAAAAATAAAAATAAAAAGCATTCCATGCATAAATTTCTTTGCAAAATACGAAGTCTGTGAAAAACAATCATAAGCATTCTTATGCATAGGTTACACACATGAAGACAATACTGTACAGCAAACTTGCATTTACCACCCATAATCCAAGGCACAGGCTGATAAAACATATTTTAACTATAGGTATATTGTCGCTCAGTGACATATCAGAAACAGGCCAGAAAAGAGATTTTCTAAATTGGTAAATCAGCACAGGTAGAGGTAGATCTAAAAGACTTGGTTAAAAAATATTAGAAATTGCCTTTTTTAATTAGATTTAAATGAGAATTTGATACTTAATAGGACGCAATGGAAAAAAAGTATTCATTTAGCCGACCCCACGCGCACAAGCTCCCTTTAACTCCATGCATACAATTGCTTATTTCAACATATAGCAAATCTTGCAAACTTTAACATCATAGACCTATCAAATATGTGCATGCCATAATACTATATATATATATATATAATGTAGAAACTTATTTTTCTATAGGATTGTAAAATTCAAATACACATTGCATATATAGCATGTTTGCATGTACTTACAGATGCAGATAAACCACGAATATAAAAATTGCACATGCCACACCCCAATACAAACAAAGCATGTTTAATTGCATTACAACCATATGCCTACACGTGCATTATCAACCCAGAGAACTTCCTAATGGCCATTTGGTTGCAAGTATTTAGAATATATGTTCATTTCAAATACAATGTCAAATAAATACAATGCATTTAGAATACAAAGAGTTATTCAGCTGGTTGTATTATAAATTCAAAATATCATTTATTTGTGTTTTATTGAAAATAAAATAAATCAAAATTTTAGCATTGATTATAAGGATGGTGATAAAATTTCAAGTACAAAATTAAAGCAAGATGAGAGAATAATCGCATCAAAGATCTCAAACACAAGACACAAAGTTTTCACAGTTTGATAAGATTCATCTACATCCATAACAGCACAAAGGTATACAGAAAGATATTACACTTCATATGAATAAAGACTAGTATAAAATTTTCTATATTAATGACAGCATTGAGAATGTAAAGCTAAAAGAGCAGAACATTGAGAATGAGGCGTTGATGCTTCTCTTTTTATGCTCTTCCATGCTATGAGAACTTCTTCGTCTCTTCCTTTCTCTTCTCTCCTTCATCTCTTTATTTGCTTGTGATTATGTGATGATTTAGAAGTAAGGATTATATGAATTTATATAGTAAGATATTCACCTTCTAACATTAATGATTAATCATTAATGGAGACTCATATGACCTCCCTTACAAAATTTTGTGGCATCCTCCATTTAAAACTTAATGAAAGCATTCATGAGTAGATTTTGTGGTAACCTCCATTTAGAACTTTGTGAGCTAGGACTGTCACATTGTTGAATGACCTAATATTTTCAATAATTAAAAATTTTTACTCATCTCTTAACATTAGTCTATTTTTTAAGCTTTTTTTTTTTGTATTAATATATTTTTTATATAATTCTTTTAGAGTACACTATGATAGTGGCAGCAGGATCGACAGAGATGGCAAGCGAAGATGGCGAGGATGGCAAAGGCTAAAATGGAGCTAGCTGAGTCGACCTGTTGATGATGAGTGGATGACAACTAGTTAGCAGTATCATGGGTCAAGTGATGCAGCATCGTTGCAACAGTAGATGCAGACAATGACAACATCAACAATGGCAACGAAAAATGGCAAAAATGGTGATAGGGACTATATCACAACTACAAAAATTGGGCAAAATTCCAAATTCCTTAAAAAACACTGCATTTGTATTACTTCTAACCAAACACATGAAAATTTAAAACTCGTACATTTGTTTTACAATACACTCCTAATAAATTAAAACAAACAGCCCCTAAGATTGAAGAGAAGGGGGTGATGCACGTAGATTTAAAGCTTATGGGATGTGGATTCTTGAAGGATTGAATGGAGGTACAATTAATGGGGTAATTGGTATTTTCTAGAGCTTAATGGTAAGGTATGAAAGTGGTCCTAGCTGACCAAGTCAAAAGGAATGGTGGATGATCAATAGAGAGAAAGAGATGACATATCTTGTCTTTATATTCTTCCCTTGTGAGGGAGGTGGCAAAACAAGGGAGGGAGACCATTCAACTATTATAGTGATTTGCTTGAGCTTCATGACATTAACACAACATGCCATGTTTGAGAATGGATTCTTATGAAAAATCAAACTTTTCATAACTGCATTTATTTTTTAGGAATTAAAAAAAAAATAACTCCAACACCATGCATGCATAAATTAAGGTCTAATCTCCATACTAAATTACAAAAAATCTGATTATCATGGTGTGAATAGGCATTTCACAATTCAATTAACAGAAAGTCATAGATATCAAATTCATGAGTAGTATTCAAACGCCATGAGCTGATTAACAATAGGGGAATTCAGGGATACTGCCCACACTAACCTGACCAATAATCAACAAATAAAAAAAAGTGCTACTTAGGTTTTATTTCCAAATTAATAATGAAAGATAGTTATCACAAGAGAGGACATGGGGTTGAGGTTCCAAATTCATAATAGAAGATAGTTATGAGTAGAGAGGAGATTGGCTTAAGATGACTACCCAGCACAAACTCCCACTAGCCCACTCCTAATGCAAACTGAGAGGGCTCAAAGAATTGTCATCAAGCACGTGGGCATGAGAAAATGGAGAATGTGAGAGGAGGGAACCATTCACTCTTTACCCGTCCGTTTATTTGTAGAGAGAGGTTAAGTGTCTATGAGTGCAGTGAACCAATAATAACGAAAAAAAGGAGAAGGGAGATCAAGAGAGGAAATCATTCATTGACGCCTATTTACACATCTCTCATTCATTGACGCCTGTTTATACATCATCAAAGTTGATGCCCGCCAATGACTAGTTACACCCATCGACCACCGTCAATTTAACACCCATGACCCACCATCACCGTCTACCATCATTTTGCACAAGTAATTGTATGATTTGGACTTATAGGTGGCATGTATAAAAATTGATAATGATCCGTTCTTTTAACTTTTTGTTTTTAATTTCTTATAATACCCCACTTTAAAAAAAGCCGACCCCACGTAGTGGGATAAAGGCTTGATGTTGTTGTTGTTGTTGTACCCCACTTTAAAAAAAAAATTAACCCCTAATAAGGACTCGTGTTTATGCAACAAAAAATCAAAATATTTACTTTAGTCATAATTCAATGCTGAACCATATCAACTTACAGCAAATATTAGTTACCAAAAAGTATTATTTATTTAATACATATGAAGAATAAGTTATATGAGCTGCCATCTTACTTCTCAAGTTTAATATAAATGCTTGTGACAGCTTGATATAGATCAAAAGCCATTTGTTCTTTTCCATCCTCTTCCAAAATCCCGCAGGCATCATTGTACAACCGAATAGCTTCATCAGGTTGAACATCTTCTAAAGCACTTTAAATTAAAAAAAAAAATGAAAATGAATCCTCTTAAGAATTCCCATCCTCACAAATTAATAAGAAAAAAAAAAAGCCAAAAAAATTCACATACCGAGCACCTTTCGCAAGAGCATCTGAAGCAGGTTGTGATCTTCCACATTCCATGTATAACTCGGATGCCCTCCTATAATGGTCAGAAACCTCACTCCAACGGTTAAGATCCTTAGCTAAAGCACCAGCAGATTCCATATGTTTGGCGGCATCCCAAGGCCTATGAAAGCTCATCAAGGGCAACAAATTGAATAAAAGAAAATAACATAGATAGGAAGTTCAGATAAAAATTTTAATATAAATACTCAAAAGGTTACGATGATATCATTTCTTGGCCTTTTGAAGCCTTCTCAAATGCTTCTTTTGCCTTTTCATTATCTTTCCTCATCCTGTAACCAATAGCTTGAGCAGAACAAAATAAAAATTAAAGTTTGGAAGTCAGTCCATCAAGAGCAGCATTATCATTTACTATACCAACCAGCCTGTTCAAATAATGCTGTAGCTGTTTTCCAATCAGCAGACCATCTTGTAAAACTAAGCTTAGTTCTGCAAGACCATACAAGAAGAACTTAAAAAAAAATCTCCTAATAAATGCAAAAAAAAAAAGAAGCAATGGTAAAAAAAATTATAATAATACGTCACTCATCTGGCATATGCGTCATATCTCATACCATTAGCTATTTATACCATGGAGCAGACGGAGAATACATTTGGAAAATGGTCTTAATAGAAGGTTAATTTATTAGATAAACTATTTTATTCAAATAAATCATGTATTTGTAAAATTTTATGTTGGTTAGATAAGGTTAGATGAAGCCTCCTCATTCAAATATCATGTAATAGGTAAATTACATTCAAATCCAACCTACTTACACAATTAAAGGCATAGTTTAAAGCTTCATTCACAAAACAAAGCTTCTTACACAAAATTAGGATAGGTTATAACAATTGGATCCCAAATTTAATTTATAAATAGAACTTTATTGGATGAATGAAAACATTATTGGCTTATTTAATAGGAGAATCTCCCTCTGCTTAGTTTTGTGCATTCAAATCCCAAGTCCTTTTATGAGGATTTTATTTAATTTTGGTTGTTTTTTTATCTAAACCATATTGGCAAGTCGAGCTTTCTCACACATGGGGAGAATTATGAGGACATCAGCAGAAAATTTCTGCGCATCTATCATTGGAGGAATCGTAGATCAATGACTACGATATGGAGTCTTTATTTATGATGAATTTTTGTATTTTATTTTATTTATATTTTGGTTTGCCATTGTACCCTCAAGAGGGATTAATTTATGTTGTAGCCCCGAGGGCATTTGAGTCTTTATGTTTTTCTTTTATTTGAGGCCTATATATGATGACCCTCCCTATTGTATTAGATGATGATTGATTAATAAAAAATTTCATCCTTCTTGTTCCTTCGAGTGTTGAGAGCTCTAGAGAAAGAAGAAGTCCCTAGGTGAAGCAAAGGCAATACCCGTCAGCCGTCGGAAGAGTCCGGGCTCACAGTCTACCTCCTCGTTCCTTTCCCCACCCCAGAACACCTCTCCTTTTCTTCTCAACCGACGGCCCCCTTTCCATCTTCCACCCAAACCACCGGCCAAATTCCCCAACCCCACCCCAACCACCGGCCAAACCACTACCTCCACCCTAAATCCGCCGGTCAAACCCACATCCTCCACATCAAACCGCCGGCCTCCCCTTCACACCCGAGCCTTGATCCCAATCCCTAACCGCCGCCAGCCTACGCATCCCCAACCTCTTGATTCCTCTTCAACTACCCCTTTATTACATTCTTAATTTAGTCCTTATCTAATTTGGAAAGTTTCTTAATTCAAATTCAAAATTGAAATTTAAAATCTTTCCTAATTATCCTACGCTTATTTTGAAAGCTCCCCTAATTGATCTCAATCTGAAATGAATTAGGATTTAATGCCAAATTCTACATTCATTAAATCTATTTCCCCTCCCTAGTTAGAGGGAATTCAAATTTCAAATATTTCCCTCCTTTCCACCCTTAAAAATCTGAAATTAAAAATTCATATTTCGGAATTGCTTCTTCTCCATTCTCTAACCCTAAAGCTGAATTTAAAGGGACCTCCCTAGTCTTGGCCGAACCCCCTACCTCTCCTCTCCCTTACTTCACATCCCTACCAAGGAAGAAGATACACTACCACTTAGCATACTTGCCTCATGAATGGCCGATCCCAAGCACGAACATGGATTCGTGTATGATTTTCAAGGACGAATAGATATTCTCTGATCATCCTTCTTCGACCTCAACTTGGAGACCAACAACAACGCTGACAACTACGTCAACCAGATCCTTTTCACTTTGGTGTCTGCCATCGACGAGCATCAAATCTCCAGACAGTGGCATGTTATTGAACATCCATCAACTTCTTTCCCTCCGGCTAACTTTTAGCTGGGCAATACTGTAGGTATTTCTTGTCTTTAGTGGCAACTTTAAGTTTGCTAAAATTATTCTTCCATTAAAAACACCTCAAGACTGAAAGTGAGGAGAACTCAAGGTTACATTTCTATTTGTTAAACGGTGGATTTCTGTTGTTTATGCCTTAGTTTTACTATAAGTTTGTTGTTATTTTAAATTGTCATGTTAATCTTTCTTGTAACTGCATGCCAAAGCACAACCACAACTAAGAAATCCTAGAATCTATTCTAGTGAAACATTAATTTTAAAATTAGTAAGCTTAACAAATTTTTATTAAATTCCTGCAATTCCTACTATGTTTCACATTAGATACACCATTGTATAATAAGGGGATTGAAAATAATGATGAAAATAAAATTGGTGTGATGAGATGTTTAGCAATAACTAGGGATGAAAAGATTAGAGGAGAAAGAACAAATTTAACAAGAATGTTACATATAATGAGAAGAGATTTAGTTTGTGATTGAAGATGGGAGTGCTAAAAATGTGATTTCTACCGATGCACTTATAATGACAAACTTAAAGAGTGAACTTCATCCCAAGCTCTTTCATTTAAGTTGAGTGAATCATACGTCTATATATGTGACCGGCAAAATGTTAGCTCCATTCAAAATGAGAGATTATCATAATCATATTTGATGTGTTGTCCTACTTTTTTTTGCAAGGTCTTCGATGGATGATGAATGCGATATATTATGGTCAAAATCAATGTTTAAAATTGCGTATTCAGGTATTGAGGCGTTTTTCATTCGTGAGGCGATGCATAAGCCTCAAAGCATTTTGAGGCGTAAGCCTCAAAGCATTTTGAGGCGTAAGCCTCAAAATCAAAAGATTGCGTAAACATAAAATAATAAATTTTTATATGCTAATGAGTGAATAATATAAAACATAAAAAAGCATAAGATATGAAGTGAAATCAAAATATCCCAATAATAAGACAACATGAAATATAGTTCAACTCAAAATTCTATCTTTCCCAAATCCCAGTATTCTTTTCATTAACATACAATTCCAAAAATAAATAGCAATGACATATCACATAAGAACTCATAAGTCATCAGCACTGTCATCACTAAGGGGTTCTTCATTTGAATCATCACTATGATGAACTGATCTCTCCCCTTTCTCCTCTCCTATAGAGTCCAATGTCGGGCATTTACTTCAAGATTTATGTAAGTTTTAATATATATAGCGTGAGGCGTAAGCCTCATGCCAGTGAGGCGAGGCAGGCCTCAAGGCGGACCTCAACCAAGTTGAGGCGCAAGCCTCATAAAAAAAAAACTAGAGGCGTAAGCATCGATGCGTTTTTTACTAGAATTGCGTAAAGGCGAGCCTCATATTGCACAATTTTAAACAATGAGATAAAGAAAGCCAAATTACTAAAACAAACTTCAAGGCCAGGTGCTAAGATATGAAATACGAATGCTTAAGCAACAGAGAAATCTAGGTCAAACTAGTCAAGCGATGACAAGCCAGAAAGACCTTATCCACATGCCATGTGTTCCTTCAAATTTTCTATAATATGAATTTTTTAATAGTTTCTTTACATCTATTATTTGGAGGATACTTTATAGTCTGGCTCGATCCCATTTACATTAGGTCCAAGCAAGGCTACGTAACTTCTATATCAGCAACAAAAAAAAATCTACTTATTATGCAAAAAAATAAAAACAAATTTGATCGATTTATTACTTCCTAACATATTATATACATATATAGGCATGCAAAAAGAAACAATAAGAAAACAAATAAAGAAGAATAATACCCTAACTATGAAGACTTAAATTACATTAATCACTTTTCAATATTAGGATCCCTATATATTCTGTCTATAGTGCATTAGTGCTTAATACGTCACACTCCTCAAGCCGAAGCATAAATATCAATTAACTCCATCTTGTTACAAAAAAAAGATAGGTGCCTCTCACTTATTCTAAACAGGAGACATGAGCAACAATTTTCTTGGGCAGCACCGTGATAGGAAGCACTTGTGTTCGCAAGTATTCCTAACCCAAATCAGTAAAATTTCAGCAGTAAACTGCTGTCCACAGCAGCCAAACAGCAGGAATTCAGCAGAAAATAGGGAAACGGGAAGAAAAACACAATAATATGCTTGTATTTCACTAGAAAATCAAGGAAAACAGTAAAGATACACTTGATCCTCAATTCGAGAGGAGGATCGATCTCTCCCAAATCTCTAGACGCCGCTAGAGCCCAAAGAAAAACTAAATCTATGAGATCTCAAATTTCAGCCAAATTCAAGATGATCAAACCCTAGGAAAATCTACTATTTAATGCATACAAATCAAAAGGAATTCCCTAAACAGTCCCTACGTTCAAATTTCCCTCTCAAAACGCTCAAAAAAACTTCCTAAACGGCTCTACGGGGGCGGACGGGCCGCTCGTTCTCCGCCAGATCCGCCTGTTCGCGATTTCCGCCCGTGAACCGGTCCCGCCTGGACCGGCTGGACCGGTCCAGTGGACCGGTCTAACACACCGCATCATGTATGAAATGATATATTACCTCAACATGTTTAGTTCATTCATAAAGGTTAAGACTGTTAGCAAAGTAGATGGTGGTATGATTTTCACAATAAAGTCATAGGTTAGTTATCAGGTAAAACAAAATCACCCAAAATTTGTTTAGTGCATATCAATTTACATACAGAATGAGACATGGCTCTATATTTTGCTTTAGCACTTGACCTTGCCACAATAGTTTGTTACTTCATTTTCTAAAAAGACGTAATATCCAGAATGTTGACTTCCTGTCATGTCAAAAAAAGCTTCAATATTCAATTTTTAGATTTAGTATGTAACAACCCCTTTACTAGAAACTTTTTGATATGCCTATGAACTTATAGAACTGCTTCCAAATGCTTGTTAGGAATTGGCATGTGCTAATTGACTACTTTAACGAATAATGAGATGCACGGTATGGTAACATAAAAATAAATCAGCTTACTAACCTTCAATATTGAGATGTATCATCAAGAAGTTTATCATCACACTAGACAGCTTAGTCGCCATAAGACTATCAACAAATTTACAAGGCGGCTTGTTTTCACAAAGAAGTCCAAGGCCATAT